TATTATATGAGCACAATTGTATGGACTAAGCCAAACAGCCTGCGAGCCTTATACATACATACATGTTACCTTATTTTGTTAACACAAACTGTAATTGCAACAAAATTTCAATATCAGTGTAGAAAATAATGTGTTTTAAAGAAAAACAATATTTGTAATAGTAATTTCCTGTAATTTGTGAAGTCTTGGCACTAATACAAATACATAACAGTGAACAAACCAATTTTTATACTTCATGGAACAAATTTTAAGCTACCAGATAGTTATATAATATTAATGATTTGTGATACTGATATTTATATTAAATTTCATATCATTATTGAATATAAACACTATCCTAAAAGTACTATCCAAAATTTCTTTTGTGCATCCTTAGTCCAGTGAGTTTTCATAAAAATGTCATAAAAATTTCCATTTGAATATAGGTATGCCTTCTAGTTTGGTCAACATGTTTTTATTCTGAGGTTAAAATTAAGTTACACAAGACCTTAAAAACAACAGAAGAGCAATGAGAGACCCACATTTGCATGCACATTGACTTATTGCCAGCCTCTCTGTAACTTTTGCCACCACCAGGTAATGCCTGATCACATTCTTTTAGTACCTGTTAAAATTTAATAATAATTTTATTACTTCTTTAAAAGGACTATGACTACTCGTTCATGACTGGCGACTGGAACATGTTTAACCAAGATACTGTCCATGATACCAGATGGTCTGTGAAGAGAAAGAAAACAGAACACAAGAAAGGAGAATACCAGGAGACACAATCCATCATTTTATATCATTTTACAAATTTTTAAAATTATTTTATATATTAAATGTTAATGGGTACCAGATTGGTATAAATAATAATCTTATTGAATGTTCAGCCCCCATGGGCTATATAGTAATATAATACAGTCAAAAAGTGTATGTGAATCATATGTGCCCGAAAAATATTGTTGAATTTACAGGAATGTGCACATGTGTGTATGTCAAGTGATTTGTCATTGCATGAGGATGGGTGATTGCTGTACAGTAAAATCATTTATACTTAAGTCAAGGAAAATAAAACTGCTCTTAAAGAAACAAGATGAATAAGGAGATCAAATAAAAGAAACATGTTTGGGTATTATGAATAATTGTAATGTTGGGATTATTGTTCTTATTAACTTTTAATGTCTGAAGTGTCCCAATTGGGCCAGTGATAAGTATGATCATCGTGGCCAAAGTACCCCAATATGGCCAGTCAGGCATTTAAACGCTGCACACACGTCACTAGTAGAAGCGCATGCACAATCCTAAATATTTATTTTTATATGTAGTAATTCCCAGACAGATTTGCATAATACCATAATAGAGGAATTGAAATTATAACTAAGTGTACAACAACAAAAAAATATATGTATGAATTATGCCCAAACTCATCCACAAGCCAGTACTTTTATTGCAGATTCTGGAGCTTAATGTGTTGAAAATATATAGTAAAATTCGATGTACAAATCTTTTTTGTTGTTATCTGCTTGATGTATATATAGGCTGAAAGGAATCTACAGTATTCGATTTCACTATGAACACACAGAAAACAGATCACACTCTGTATCTCAGCCATGATGCAACTGTTTGTTCACAACCATAGAAGGGGCAATAATCTCTTGCAGCTATAAGGGAAGGTCTTAGCACTGAAGAAAGGACCGTTGAATTGTTCCCTCAAGCTTTTTCTTGAACAGGCATGCTTTCATTCTTCTGTCCTTCAATCAGAAGATTCAAAAATCTGAAGGGCGTAACAAAGATATAAAATTGTCAGCAGAGAAATAAATGATTTTATTGCTTCTATCTGTTTTATGACACCAGGGACTGCTGAAAGACGTCAAGTGTTACAAGCAGGAATGAATTTATAATCCAGAACAACACTGTGAGGAACAGGGAAACCATTTTTACAGTATGCATCAAAATTAAAAGAAAAAAATTGAAAATAGAGTATAACTTTCTGTATAAAAAGTTTCAAACCTTCCATTTTAATATGCGACACTGTGTTCTTTGCTGATTCAAACAAAGTTAATTCCATCCATTTATCATAAAAATTGTGTTAGATACAGCATTTTTAAACACAATGCTCTAACAGGAATGGAAATTTAAACGCAGAATAGCAATGGGCATTTAAACACACACCAGCAGTGGTCATTTAAATAAACTCCAACCAGCTCAAGCTTACCACCATTTCAAAAGTCCGGCGTTTAAAGGTTAAATGTGATTTCAAGTGATGAAACATCTTTCACATTTACACCTTTATTAAATAAACATTCAAAGTGATTGAATATATTTACAATCAGTAGAGATGTTTGGAGGCCCCCAATATTTTTCTACAATAGAAGCAACACACTTTTACAATGTAAATATACAGACATGCAGTCCAATTATTTGTTCTAGCAGACTGAAGTCCCTCAGCTTCTGAAGCTGGATGTGCTGAAAATGGTGCAGACAAAATCAGCCCAGAGCCCCTCTACTCAATCAACTGCCATAGGTGCACAACCAGGTGTTAATAGTAAAACATGTAGTAAGTGTTTAATGTCATATTATATTTAAGCATCCTGTTGCACTCCATACGATAAATGATATAATGATACAAATTTCGTCCCAAGCGCAAACAATATATTATGTGTCCNAGACATAGGGCGAGTAACCCTAACAATTTTAAATTTAAAATTTAGAGAAAAATTTTAAAAGATTTTAAAATTAGAACTAAAGATTTTATAGTGCTACTACAGGAAAGTCAAAATTAACGTGTGTAAAATAATCTACAAACCAGACAGATATCAACGAAGTAGATGTTGATAATAACAAGGAAAGTGTTTTAAATGTTAAATTTTGTGCTGGGTTCAGTGTGACAGCAACGTGAGTGTTATACACCTGATGATGGCCGTCTGAGGCCAAAACATGTAGTGTAGAGGAGCAAGATCAAGGACACATAATATATTGTTTGCGCTTGGAACGGAATTTGTATCATTTATCGTTTAATGTCAGTTAATATTCCATTCTGAGGCTTTAAAAATATATATTGCTTGCATAGATCACAGTGAAACTTGGGTTTTATATTTCTGAAGGTGCCATTTAAAATCAGTGTCACATCAGGAAAAATGCAAAATCAAGGAAATGAAAATTCATATAGCTATTGAAATTAAATATGTTAAATTAATACTGTATTACATTAAAATCATGATCTAGTTCAGTGTATTGCGTTACAAATGTAATCTAGTAGACTTTTTCCACATGTCCATTGAAGTAAGTTGCTGCTTGTCTGCTTTCTGCTGAAATCTGTACCCCCCATTCTCAGCACTACTGAGAGCAGTCGTCATGTTATCACTGACATCAAACTTCATGAGGTATTTCCTCACAATGTCTTGTGTCTTTCAGTGCTGACAGTGGTTGCTGGAGGTTCACTCTTGTCACTATCATCTTTCCCGCTTTTCCTCTTCCTCTTCAGACAGGTGTAAACTTTTCATCTGGCATTTGTTCTGAGACTGCACCTCAAATATTATAGCATTATCACAGGATTCATATGCTTGAAATGATACACTTGCTTTCAACTGACTCCAGTTGTCTTTGGCTGTGCTAAACTCTATTATATCTTCAGTATCATTGGTTTGATTAAATTGAACCCAAAGTTCTCAAAAAGAAGAATACTAGTAGTTACTATAGGATTCTGATGATGGTGTATGACACACAGATATATTGGGATTTTGGACTTTATCCATCGTCCTGGTTTTTAAGATAACTAATAAAAACACGACGTTTCGGAAACTGGATCTGTTTCCGTCCTCAGGTGAAGGAAAACACCTATTCTGTTGGGTCCGTTAGAAAGAGCTAGCCTCAATCACTGGACCAATTTTTCGAGTGTGGACGTGTTACTGAGGCTAGCTCTTTCTAACGGACCCAACAGAATAGGTGTTTTCCTTCACCTGAGGACGGAAACAGATCCAGTTTCTGAAACGTCGTGTTTTTATTAGTTATCTTAAAAACCAGGACGATGGATAAAGTCCAAAATCCCGAAGAATACTAGTGTCATAAGTGACACGGTGCCATGATTCTGCACTGAAACGTTGTGCATTCAAAACGTTTACCTTTGTGACTGTAGCATCTTGAAGCAACTTGTGATCTGCCATAGAAATAGTTTTTCTTACAAGTTGCTTGTGGCAATGTGACTACTGAAGAATGATGGTGCAGTTTGGGGGGAAAACACACAACTTTCACATTCTTTAGGTACCTTTTGTCTTGGGGATGAGCAGAACACTGGTCAGTGAGAAGTAAAATCTAGCTTGTTTAAACCACACAACCCACAAACTCTCCAGGCTCTTTTATTTGACCTAAGAACCTGCCATATTGTGCGTAACACTTTTCATTTTCTGTCTTGTTTCTAACACTAGTGTTCAATGTTGATGGCACATTTCCTAATTTGGCAGCCACTGCAACACATGTTTATTAGCATATGCTTGGGCTAGAATATCAATTTTGTCATGAAAAAAGAATGCTTTCCTCTTCTTTGGTTCACTCATCATGACAGAAAATGAATCACAACTAGAAATTAATAAAAGTCTTTGCTTGTTCAATTCACAGTAGATTAAAAAAGGAGGGTTGTCATAGTGATTTGTTAAGAATGCGGAACTTGAAGAACTTAAATTCAATTTCCTTTCCTAATTTCCAGTTGAAAATATGTAAAATGACGGCAACAGGGAGCTTTATGTTCAGTTTTAATGTATAATTGAGGAATTGGGTTGAAAGGAAAAGTGTATATTCAAGGAAAGTTGAAGACTTTTCTTATGCCTAGAATCAAGGTGATTGGAAGGTGAAAGGATGTAAAATGCAGGATTCACTGGATTTATATGCTATGAAAGCTTTGGGAAAAGAGGGCACGCAGTGTGACAATTAAGTTGCTGAACTGAGGCCATAAAAAAGATAAAGAATATTTATTGTTAACATCACTCAGTATTATCTCTGCCCACTTCCACATAAGGTTTACATTGCTCATAAAAGAAATCAAATGCCCGAGAAAACGCTGCTTCCCGTATCACCTTCAGTTCTTTTGTTGCAGTCTGTTGAAATGATGAAACCGCCTTGAATCTCATTCCTTTCATTGCAGTTTTTAATTTTTAAAATACAAAAATGTCAGGTGGCATTAAGTTGGGGGAGTAGGGTGAATGGGGTAATACTGGGATCCCTCGTTTCACCAAAAACTTGGAGAAAATGCCTGAAGATTGTGTCANGAAAATGATTTAAATACTATCCGTCGCGGAAGGGTTAATGTACAGAAGATACCACGACCTACTTTCCTGAAACTCAGTCCTAATTTGATGAACTTGAGTGATCAATCTCTTAATCACCTCTTTATAAAATTGACCTTTTGCAATCTTGTTTTTCCAGCACAAATTCTTTATGAATGACACCTTTAGCATCAAAAAATGCAGTCAGCATTGTTTTCTCCTGCAATTTTTGCATTCTGAGCTTTCCGTCAAACACGCATGTTCTCAATAAACATTCTTCACTATACGTACTTTTCAACATTTCAGTGATTCAGTAGCTGTTTTCATTAATTTTACACAAAACTTAATAACTGCTTTTTGTTCCATTTTGAAACCTTCGACATGATGATAAAACTAACTTCACCAAAATAAATGTAATCCTCATATGCATCAACCAAACAAGTTGAACCTTGCACGTCATTTAAATCGATTTTTTCTTTAACTAGTCCCATTTTATCTGCTATAGATGACATTTCAAGTATTACTGTTTTAGTGTCAGTTGAGGAACATAATTGTCACATTGTGTAGAGAGAATTATTTCCTGGATGCTCGCTGAATTGTGACAGTTCATAAATATTGTTCTATCATTTAAAATGTCTCTGAATCACATCTTCAGTGTGAGTTTTGAAAATACTTTGTATCAGTGACATCAACCAGTGTTGAGCGGAGATGACACATTCATAGTTGCTGTTGCCCTATTATGCAATTGCATTATAGATTTTATGCTTGGATAAGAAGGAGAGAACTTTTTATGTGCTGCTGTTATATGTTATTGGCTTAAAATTTCAAAGGCAGTAAATTTTCCCCTGTGTTTCTGATGCATGCAAGAAGGGGGGTTTCATGGTTTTCCACTATTCTTGTGACAGATAGTGAATGAAAAAGACATAATGCTTCCCAAGAATCTTATCTAATTTGTTTAAGGTAGCTGCAGTATCCAAAGGTTCACCACTACTAATAACAAAATCTGTTGTTTATTACCCTGATCCAGTCCTGTACATTTTACATTCTCATACCTACTTCCCTAAAACCCATTTCATTGGTACACCATATACTGTTTCTTATAATCATATCAGAATTTTGAACATGTAGATCAACACAAATTTCATTGTAACTGAGAAAATGCTGGAGCTAGTAGAAGAATATTTGTACTCTAAAACTTTAACTGTATGTCCATAATGTTTGTGACATGTAGACCCATTTCTAGGAAACGAGTTGGCAAACACCTTTCTATAGAGATTGATTCTTGGAATCATGAATACAAGTGATCAACGAACATTTCCTTGGATACCAATACACTATATAAGAGGTTCTTAAGATCAGAATGAAGGAAGTTATAGTCCAGCCAGAATGGCATGAGTCCTAGACAGTCATTTATTGTGAGTTACTGGAAGTTATTATGATCACGAGTAATTGTAAAGAAGTAATCAATGAATCCAATGCAGACCCCATTATTATTAGTCAGGCAGCCATAAACACGTAACAGCTGGAGTCAGAAGTGGGATTGGATTGATGAAATTATTGGATCTTGATCGCTTCACATCAACACCATTGCCCTGCAACAAATAATAGAAATGCTGGCAGAAATGAAAGCCATGAGGAAAATGAACATATAAATGAAAGCCTCACAAGAAAAGATGGATGCCAATTGAAATGAAATGAAAGAGGAAATAAAATCTGGCCAAGTGGAAATGAAATCGATATTATTTTTTTTTTTTTTCGCTATTGCCAGTCCCTTGTACTGCGGCCACTTCTGGCCTATCGTACCAGCCCCAGATGATAGGTGAGGGTGATTGTGAAGCAACTGGTGGAATGAAGATTGGCAAGGGAAACTGAAGTACTCGGAGAAAACCTGCCCAGCGCCACTTTGTACACCACAAATCCCACTTGACCAGACCCGGAATCGAACCCGGGCCGCCGCGGTGAGAAGCCAGTGACTAACCGCTTGAGCTATGGTGCGGCCTTAAATCAGCAGTAAGTGCCATTGAAGAGAAGATGGAGACTGTAGTTTGCTCCATGAGGGCATGGCGAAAAGAGATGACGGCCTGCCAGGGAATGATGGAGGCACAACTGGAATGCAAAGAGCCAAACTCAGAGGACATGGAATCTAGAGCGGAGTATCAGGAGGTCCCCAAGGAGCATGCCATAGTGAAACGTGTTGGAAGACTGAGGAAGCGGCATAGGGGCTGAAATCTAGCTGCAGAGCGCAACCACAAGCCACAGGAAAGGACTCAGGGAGATTGTGGATTCAGAAGGAATTGGC